TCTCTCTCTCTCTCTCTCTCTCTCTCTCTCTCTCTCTCTCTCTCTCTCTCTCTCTCTCTCTCTCTCTCTCTCTCTACTTCGCAAACTTTGGACTTCGGCTTTGCCAAAAGAAGAAGAAGAAGAAGAAGAAGGAGAAGAAGATAGTAAGAAGAAGAAGAAGATAGTATGAAGAAGAAACAGAGAGCGAGAGACGGTTAACGGGGGCCCAAATATTCGCCGGTTTCGCTGCCAATTGCGGTGCGAATTTCATCAAAAATTTTAAAAACAAACGATATGAGACCATAGTGCAAACATCAAAAAAGGAAACAGGCCAAAAAGAATGAAAAAAAAAAAAACAAAAAAACACTATGAAACCCTAACACAAAGACACTGTCCGAGTCAAAATGAAGCGTCCAACGAATTCAACAAAATGCCAACTTTTTCATTATTGATCCAAACATGTCAAAACTGCACACATGACATACCCTAAAGCACATATATATCACACAAAAAAAAAAAAACAAGAAAAAAAGCAAAAACTCAGCACAATATGACAGTTTCAGTGCAATTCGGTGCAAAATTGGTCGAAAATAACACCCCTGGTTAACCACGTGTGATGACGATGATGATGATGATGATAACGATGACGATGATGCCGATGATGATGATGATGATGATGGTGGTGGTGCTGACGATGATGATGGTGAGGAGGAGGAGGAGGAGGACCCTCAATCCATGCATTTCCACCCCCCCACCACCATCCCCCCCCCACCAACCCCATGAAAAAAAATGTGCAGATCAATATTTCTCTGCGGATTCGGGGAGATCTTGACAAGCGCAGTCCAACCCCATCATCAAAAAAACAAAAAAAAAACAAAATTTGACTCCGTTTTGGGCCCAATCGGAATTCCGGTTGGACAACCAGGGTTCCAACCGGCCGGTGGCCGGTGCAGCCCAGATTCAAAGTTAATTGTTTGAAATAATTGAAACACATACAAAATGGTGCTGGCAGTACCAAAAAATAGAAAGACTTTATAAAAATAGGTCAAAGGATGCTGTAGTAGAAAACATCGACAGGGGTGGTGGTGGCAATAATAATGATGGTGGCAGTGACGGCGGTGGTTGGGGGGGTAGTGGGAGTGGAGGCCGTGGCAATGGTGATAATGGAAAGGTATACCTTCAGCAACAGCAGCAGCAGTAGCCGTATTGGTAGACGCTGGCCTTCATCCCTTGCAGCCACTTCAATAACATTCACATTATTCATTGCGGCTGACACAGTCTCCACCTGAGTTGGCGTATCCCCATTAATGTCTGCCACTTCAGCAGGAGTGACAGGTGAGAGCGGGCCCGCTGCATTTGATTGTGTGGAGGGCTGATGCTGCCCGTGGTCAAAATTGGTGTTAGGCAGTGGATGGTGGTCTACTGTGTGCAGTTGTGTGGAGGGCCTGTGCACAGAATTAGCATTCGGGAGTGGGTAAGCTATTGCCCAGCGCACCACTCGGCGAAACCAATTCAAAAGCCATGTGACATGAGTAGGAAGTCGGTGCTGCCGGGCACGCACACATGCAGTCCAGCCTCTAGCCAGGACACTGGGAGGATAGCCCCTAACAAGCATACCTCGTGTCAGGGAAGTCACTGCCGCTTTGAAGTCGGTGGTATTGTTACAGATGTGTTCAAACCTCATTAGCTGTCGCGTGAGCACACCTGCGGGCTGATCAGATGAGGCATTGGAGGAAGAATTGGGATAACGCATGATAAGGAATGTCCAGGCCTCAGCCTTATCAAATACGCCAATGCGAAGTGAGCCATCTGGCTGAACCAGGATTCTTGCCCCAAGGAAAAGGCACGAGTCATCTTGCTCAGAAGTGTCTTTCCACTCAAGACCATACCGAGCAGGAGGGGGCACTGATGTCTTCCAAGCTAGAATGTCATCAATGAATCGGTATGTGAATGCATATGCTTGCCAAAGATCATCGATAAACTGTTCTTCCCAATAAAGTGTGAGGTTGGCAATTTCTGGTCCACCAAAATGCCCATAGGGATACCGACCACCTGATGGCGCAGAGTGCCATCCTTTGTGTAACAATCAAGTATTAGAGACCACAAACCGCAAATGCTGCTCTATTTCTGACACTTAAGAGGGCGCTGGACCCATGTGAGGCAGGTTTGTGTGATCCGGACGATGAGGACCTCCTAGAGCCACGTACATCTCTACTGGCCTTCTGCCCTGTGTGATCCACACCAAAGCATAGTCATCTGTTTCACGAACAGCATTTGGACATTGTTAAGAATCATGTCGCTTGGCAGGTTCATGTACATAGTTGTAAAATGCGCTGTATGCGGCATACACCCTTGAAGAGATTGTGCATTCTGCTTTAGATCGAGAATGACTGCCTCAGCACTTTCCGCGATCCAGCAACGCTGTACACCACTTTCTTGATAAAGCTCATTGGCCTTACTGCGCAGGGACTTGATCACTCCTTGGAGGCGTAGCTAAGAGAGCGGAAGGCCATTGTTATGCAGATCCGAAACTGAAGTTCGGCGAGGTGCAGATCGGGAACGATTGTTTCGACAAGTAACTCCAAGAATTGGACGAAGGGCCAGTGGAGATTTTTGTGCTTTGAGTGCAAAGTAGAGATAAGGCAGGGTGTCAATATGTCGATAGCCCCAACGTTGGTTGAAAAGTGCATGGCGATTGAGCAGCTGGCCACAGTCTCCAATGATTGATCGTAGGTGGGATTTACCAAGGTGCTGTGATAACTATGCACCAGCGCTTGGAGCAGATTGTGATGTTGTGCGATGTTTTATCGAAAGGTACTATACCGAATTGTTGTCGGCACGCAAGGCAGTCCGCATAGGTGCTTGGTACAGTGACGTAGAAAAATTCCATTGGCATCTTGAAAGAATTGATGTGCGCCATCTGCGCAGCAGAGATTCATTATTGCGTGCTGATCTAAACTTGGCAATATACTCGTCCATATCCAGCTTCAAAGCTTTCATCACATCTGTGGTGTCGGCACTGAGGCCATACTTGGAGCTTTCAAAGAAGAGAGCCGTCCACGGTGGCCACATAGCGTGGAAATGCTTGTCGACAAGGACAATTGTTAGGGTCTAGAAGAGGCATATTGCTTGTTAAACTGAGTGCTACTTTTGTAAAATTACAGAACTAGACACAAATGGGTAGCACCACCTTGTCATGGCTACATATCTCCTTGGTAAGGACAGGCCGTGGATTAATTCAACAACCTCTGATAGTCGAAGGACGCTTCGTAATAGTGTGGTGCGAGCAACCTGCTGCATGTGCATGACCTTAATGAAATTTAAGGACGGAGCCTTATCATGTGCAGGGCCAGAGTACGGCTGTTGTGAATATTGCAGACCACAGATCATGCACTCTAGTTGACGAATGTTCAGTGTAAGCTCGGAGTTTACGACATTTGTTTGCATAGCAGTGAGCGAGAGCATTAGGCACAGGTGGCTCGGGAGAGGGTACGAGATATGGATTGACATTCTGAGTAACCTGCTTCTGTAAGCATGCGATATAGGGCCGAGTGGACAGCGTAATGGAGCTGGGTCAGTGCCAATTGCGAAGGGTCTGTCTGTGGGAATTTGTGCTGCGGGTGAGTCCTAGAAGAAGAATTTTGGACTACCTCTCGAATGAATCCACCTGTTTGAACGATGAGATCGTCTGACAGGCAGTAGTCGTCTTCGTAGGAGGAGGCTGTTGAAGCTCCGAGGGTATACGGTGGTCAGGCGCCGAACCCAAAAACCTTCACGAGGGGTGGCAACGTGTCTAAACAATTCAGGATGGATGGAGCCATCAGTGTTTTTTTATGGGGATCTGTGCACTCCAGGGGCCAGACAACAAAATGAAACAGGGGTTGCCTAGCCATGAAGTGATAGAGATGACGGTGACGAGAGCGCATCGTTTGAGATGAATAGCGGGAATGCCAGTGCTGTTGCAGAAGATAATGAGCAGAGTATGTGGTTTGCCCAACATATGTGCGACCACATGGTCTGTGAATAATAGCATACTTAACCCCACCAGCTGAAAGAGCATCCATTCCTGGTTTAATGGGGCTCTGATTGATGCCTCGTAACTGCAGTTCTAAATGTTCCGCCCGGGCTGCTGCTGCCACACAGTGGAGTCACTTTTAAACCGATGCCCTGTGTCATAGAGATTAGTGTTCCAATCATGATGTGCAACCCAATCAACTCTGTTAGACTGTCGTGCATAGCGCTGACTAGAAGAAGAGTGCAGGGGGGTTACCATCAAGAGGATCATAAGTAGGTTGTGTAGTTCATGCCGCGCCACTAGCACTGGAATCCCCTTTCAAATCCCTTTCCTGATTCTCACGTTGTAACGTCAACATCATAGGTGAAGTAGAAATTCTGCTTTCTAGAAAGGAAAAGATTTCTAAGACACCACAAAAAAAAAAGAAAAAGGAGAACATTGTATAAGGGTAAAACCATGGTCCAGGGTTTTAGGCCCGTCGGCTCAGCATGGGGAGGCCGCCGACATACCGTGCAGGAGGCACTTGCCACAAAGTTTCCCAAGCAATGGCTCGGCTAGTGCGCAGAATGCCTCTACCTGCGAGTGTGCTCCGGGCAACTGCACCAGACGCCGGGCACAGCAAGACTAGCTATTCTGTTAGGAAGGAGTTCCCGATCATCACCTGGAACTCTAGGTACAAGGTTTATGCCAAGGAGACATCCTGCGAGGGTGAGATGAGTAGGAGTACTCCGCACCTGAGTCTGGCACACCTTGGGTGGGGAGCTAACTATACTCACTGTGCAGAAGGAAAGGGCAAGAAACCGCGCCCTTTCGGTGAACGCCACCACAGGACATGGGCTTCTGAAACAGAACCAAAAGGCCAGTCACATAGACAAGCCAAAAGCAATATAGTTAGTTCAACAAGGTCAGTTTCAACTCGTAACATAATGAAATCATAGAACCAAACGAGACAGACAACAGACTCGAGGCAGACTCGCATTTTTGGGTGGGAGACATATCGATGTACCGGCACATGTTCAATCCACCATAGTAGATGTTCAATCCATCACACTAGAGGAAGTTCGATGTGCCGGTACATGTTCAATCCACCATAGTAGATCATCATAGCAAGAGAAGCCCTCGCATTTATTCAGGCCAAGCACGTTGGATAAATCAAACAAGTATATGGTCGTCAAAAGCCTTATAAAACACATCCAGCTTACCATAAGTGTGACCTGCAAGTACAGGTCCGATCCTAGCTGCTCAATCCACAAGAGCAGAGAGCTAGCAGGACCTCTGTGTGTGTGTGTGTGTGTGTGTGTGTGTGTGTGTGTGTATGTGTGTGTGTGTGTACGTACCTATCTGTGTGTTTGTGCGGCCTCTATATATTAAAAAAAAAAAAAAAAAAAAAATCTCTCTCATTCCATCCAAGAATCATCACACAATGTGTGACGCTGTGTGCGTATGTGTGGTCATGTTCGCTATATATAACTCCTCAAACAATTGCATGACCGTGCCAGATTGTTGAACTTTCACCAACTCAGGAGGCTAAACCCCAATAGTCTTCCCAGAATGCATTTGACAAATGGAGAAGGACTCGTCACATCGTCCAGAGTTAGCAATATCCCCGAGGAAAGGGGTCAACTTTCCTCACACCAGCCTTGCAATCCTAGCAGACTGTCGATCCAAGAATGGCCATGACAAAACGAATTGCAATAAGTCTGACAAACTAACAAGTCACAGCCATAACACCCACTCCACACACCCACTCACCCTTAGATACCTAGCGGCATGAACGCTAGCACAGTTCGGCCCCAGCCGCGTCGACAGTGTTGTTTGTTGTGTGTGTGAGAGAGAGCGCTCAGTGGCACTCCGCACGACAGTGTTGTGTGTGTCTCTGTCTGCGTGAATGTTGTCATCTTCACTATAGACAATTCCACAAAAAAGCACGGTTTCACCAACTGTGCATGAGAGAGAGAGAGAAGGCACGTTCTCTCTCTCACACACTTGGATGGCATCCATGAATAGGCAATGTGTGCATGCTGGCAGGGACATGCATTCATGCGTGAGTGGGAAGAGAGAGAGAGACAGACAGACAGACAGACAGAGAAAGAAAGAGAGAGCTTGATAAGATTGTGCCGCAGTTATATAAGTAAGAAAGGATTGCAAAAGTTGCACCTGGGCTTGAAGGTAAAGAAGTTAGACGAGCCCGTTACTAGTAAGTTAGCAGATAACAGAGAGATGATAGTAGACAAATGCAATGAAGAGGTTAGGGCATACTTCCGGTTGGAGGCAGGGAGGAAGATAGAAAACGTGTTGCACTCCTTAACACTCTTAGTGGAGGATAGTTTACCCTTTGACATGATACTAGGAACTGACTAGGGTGAGGCCGCCGATGCAAATGTGAAATTGGGTGAGCATGAGTGTTGGTTGCCTAGCCCTGCAGGTGGAAAGAAGAAAATCCGGCTTAAACATGCATATGGCATAGAGAATAGCCTATCCCATTGTTGCATGAGTTCCGCTCCGGTGAGTGAAAGTAAGAAAGAGGAAGAACCCATTCTTCCCAATGTGCAGAAGTTGCTTGTTGAGTTCGCTGATGTTGGAGAGGCCCCAAGTGGAATAGTTGAGAGGGAGACCAAGCACCGGATGGTTCGAGAGCTTGACGAACTGCGAAAGCAGTTGGACGAGTTGATCGAGAAAGGGGAGGATTAGGCCAAGTTCCTCACCGTTCGGTGCACCGGTTCTATTTGTGTCAAAAAAGGGCGGTGAACTACGTATGTGCATAAACTATAGGGGACTTAATGCGATAACCGTTAAAAATGTTGAACCGTTACCACAGATAGATGATCTCCTGGATAGAGTTCAGGGTTGCAGATACTTCTCCAATTTTGATATGAAATCGGGCTACCATCAGATTGACGGATTGCCCGAGGATCAACACAAAACTGTTTTCCGAACTAGGTATGGCCACTATGAGTTTGTGGTGATATCGTTTGGTTTGACAAATGCCCCTGCAACCTTC